GAGAATGCTGCTGCTTGCGAGGCACTCCAGGTAAACGTCTCATCTGGTTTAAGTAAATCTGTTAGGAGCCGAGCAATTTCCGCGAAGTTCTTGATGAACCTCCGAAAGTAGAAGCAGAGCCCCACAAAGCTGCGGACATCTTTGGCGGTTTTTGGCACAGGAAAGTACTTCACAGCTCGAACTTTTTCTGAGTCGGGCTGTACCCCATAAGCGTAAACAATATGCCCAAGTATTATAATGTGACGGCGACCAAACCGGCACTTGGATGAATTCAGTTGAAGGCTCGCGAAACGGAATACAGCAAGAGTTTCGGACAGTCTCTCAAGGTGCGCTTCAAAGGTGGGAACAAACACAACCACGTCATCCAGATAACCAAGACACATAGACCACTTGAATCCATGGAGCAGGGAGTCCATCATTCATTCAAAGGTGGCGGGGGCATTGTATAAGCCGAAAGGCATGACCTTGAATTGGGAGAGTTCAGCAGGTGTTAGAAAAGCCGTCTTCTCTCGGTCAATAGGGTCCACGACAATCTGCCAACAACCAGAATGAAGATCGAAAGAAGAAAAGTAGGCGGCACCATGGAGGCAATAAAGAGTGTCGTCAATTTGTAGCAGAGGGTATGCGTCTTTCTTGGTGACATTGTTAAGGTTGGGATAGTCCACACAAAATTGCTACGATCTGTCCTTCTTTTCAACTAATACCACCGGGAATGCTCAGAGACTGGAGGATGGTTCAATAATGTCCTTCGCTAGCATCTTGTTAACCTCCTTCTGAATGACGCTCTTTCTTCTTCACACTCCGCTCAAAAGCAGACACTCTGTAGGTACGGCGGTGAACAGGGTTGGCATTACCTGTGTGTATGCGATGCTGGACAAAGGACGTCTGCCCTAGAGGTCGGTCGCCAAAATCGAAGATATCCTGGTAGGCCTCGAGAAGACGCTGCAGGGCTTCAACTTACAGAGGCGGAAGATCAGTGGTGATCATGTCTACAATTCGACAGCTGCCCGAATGTGCTGCGAGCGGTGTGCGCTGCTTTGAAACTAGGGTGTCTAAGGCAAGCACTTCGGCTTGTGAATCGAGCAACAGACACAAGTGAGCCACAGAAATGCCTTGTGGAAGCACTTGATTCATGTAGCTGAAATTTACAAGTGATAGACAAGTTTTGTTATCTGTGATGCGGAGCACCTTGTAGGGAACTGCAACATTATGTGCAAGGAGTACGTCGGTGAGAGGCGTAGCGTAATAGTCACTGTCGGGCACAGCTGGTGAGCACAGGAAATCGATGTACATCACAGTTTTGGAGGGCAGGTGAACAAAGTCACTGCATTGTAATCGAAATGTAGGTTGGTACGGGGCGTCACTGATTTGTGGTAGTTCAAGGTGGAGCACCCCAGCAGAGCAATCAATGAGAGCAGAATTGGCCTCAAGAAAATCAAGGCCTAGTATGAGGTCGTGGGGATATGTTGCAAGGACGGTAAAAAGGACGACCACTTGATGACCGGCAACGATAAGTTGAGCTGTGCACATACCGACGACAGGGACTGTTCTACCATCTGCAATTTGGACGACACTGGTCAAGGGGGGCGTGAGGACCTTCTTCACGCGACGACGAAAATACGAACTTATAGTAGAGACGTGAGCGCCTGTATTAATCAAAGCTTCAACAGGTGTACCATCAACATATTCTTCAAAGGTGTTCCGGTTCAAATGTAAGGGCAACAGAGGGTTTTCGGGTAAGGTCGACAGGGCAGCTCCATCTCCAGAAGCTGCACAGCTTAGTTTGCGGGGACATGCGGCAGTTAAACGACATTGAGGGAGAGCGGCGACGCGTATTTGAACAAGAAGGGCGGCTTTGAGGCGGCGCCGACAGCGGGACAGGGTGGCCGTAGTCCTCAGGGAAAGTAAAAGCTGTAGATTCCTTGCAGGTCGGATAACGGTAGTTTGGCGGAATGAGTTACTGTAAGTGGGGTAAGAGCCAGAAGGCATAGATGGCCATTGGTAGTGGCAGTAACGAGCGATGTGACTTGTGCGACCACAGCGGAAGCAGATTGCCTTATCATCAGCTGTTCGCCATTCAGACGGGTTCAGAGTACGGACAGTGACGTCTCATGTCTACAGAAGCTATCGAGGGATCAGTATTATCCACGGTGGGTACAGTGGACAGGATACCCAGGTTAGCGAATTCCTGGAGGACAACAGCCTGGATCAAGGAGACGGCTGGCGTTGAGGCGTCGGGCAACGTCGGTTTGCTGGCAGCCGGGTAAGCGGCCTCGAGTTTAGGTCGGACGATGCGTGTCACGTCTTTGGTTGTAGACGGCTGACAAGGAGTGGCTTCGCAAGACGACGTTGCAGCGGTGTTGGCTAGGCGCTGGAACAGGTGTAAATTGTGTCGACTCTTCGCCTGCTCAAGACGGCACTCTTTGATCACCGCGTCGATGGTCGTTACGTTCGTAAATACAAGCAGGTTGAACGCATCGTTGGCGATACCTTTTAAAATGTGCGATATCTGGTCAGCCTCAGTCAAGTTGGGATTGGCCCTTTGACACAACGCTAAGAAGTCTTGAATATAAGTCAAGTAAGGCTCGGTGGACACCTCTTAACGTACGGCCAATCGCTTTTGGGCATCAAGCTGTTGACCAAACAGGCTGCCAAAAAGGCCGCAGAGCTCTTTTTTAAACATTTCCCAGCTTATGATTTCGTGGTCGTGGGTCTCAAACCAGTTGCGAGGGGTCTTGTCAAGATAGAAAATGACATTCGCAAGCATAACGGTTGGGTCCCAGCCATATTGCTTGCTGACGCTCTCGTACATACTGAGCCACTTGTCCACATTCGCGAGTTCTCTTCAGTAAAGGTACCGAGATCACGGGGTTGCCTTAGGGCGATGTACTGGGTTGCTGTCGTTGCCGAGGTAAGTGGCAAAAGCGTATCCTCACCTGGAGCCATGGTAGCAGACTTAAGTAGGCGTCCAGTGCATAGCTCCATTGTCAAAAGAGTACCCAGCACCTCCACCAAAATGTTACATGGGAGTAACAGTAGGCAGTCCGCAGCCACAACACAGCTCACCAATAAGGTCCACTTCATCACTCTCAGTTTCAGGCGCCCTTTTTGGGTATATCCCACTATGCCCTGTTACACTCAGCTGAAACCACGTAACAATATGTTCCATTTGACAGGAGTTGCATTTACGGAGAAAGGAATAAGGCTGCAGACTACAAGTATGAAACCAATCTTGTCATTAGCAGTTGTTCCATTTAGGCCGCAGTTCTATTTTAGCGATTTCTGTTTACTGAGAGTCTACTATATTTAGTGCTCTCTAAAAATTGTCATTGCCTTCTTTCAACATAGATACATTTGATAACAATGTTTGTACTGTTTTGTTTTTCACTTGAGTTTCATTTTCTTTTTCTTGCATATATTATATTTATATGAATTCTGCTTTGCCAGTGCTTTTCCAACAGTTCTAAATTCACAATATTATTTCGTCAATATGATTATTATTATTATAATTGATGTTGCTGCTGTTGTCGTTGTTATTGCTGTTATTGTAATTGCAGACATATCGTTTGGATTTTTTCATTTGCCCATCTATTTTTGTTTTTGCACCTTGTTTACATCTGGATTTTCTACTTGAACGAAACATTTGTTTTTGCAACATACAGCTTGTAACATTGCATAAAATCAGCTTTCTTTTTTTTCATTCTTTTAAGTCTCTAGCTGATTTATTTATTGCCCTCTCCTTTTTTTATTTTGTGACACCCTCAGCTAAGGGTCATCAACAAAGCCATGAACAAAATATATAAAATGAATAGATAAATATGGGGCAGGGCAGGGAGCTGGAAAAGTTTGTCAATGATACTAGGCTGTCTTCCAAAAAAATAGAAATTTTTAAATATCCCGTGCCCCTGTGAAAATTTTAACATTGCCGAAACATTATCAACCTGGTCAAAATAAATAGTTTTCTGCTTTATTAACATTTTATTTAAAATAGTTCACCCTCACTCTCTCTGCAGTCAATTTTAGAGAGGCCCAGCATCATTATTCCGAATATAGGTCATTTTTCTTCAAGGTACTACTACATCTCCTGTTAAACTATCAAAATTCATAAATGAATATAAAACTCATTCACCACTGCAATTCTAGTAGACGAAAAAAAAGTTAAGCCAAGAGGAAAGCATTAAAATTCAAATTTTTTGTGTTCATGACAATATAACCTGCAATATGAGAGTGACACTTTTATAAAAATATACGAGAAGGTTGCATATCAAAATGGCTTTTTCACACTAGTCAGTGACAGAAAGAAAGGGTAGGCAGGTGCCCAAAAATTGAGACAGATTTCAGTTCAGAGATTGAATAAAAATGTTTGATGGGGTGTAGTGGAGAGTAAATGTGGCTGTCTGAGAAAATAAAATCTGCTTCATGATGAAAAGAATCTGTAACACTGTCCACTTGCCACTTCTCCCACATCACAATTTCAGTCTTTCAAAACTATCCTGTCTATTTTTGCCATTTAGTATCATTACTAAAACAGCTGTGAATCTACGACCCAGATTTTGTTAACTTTGTTTTTTTTATTTATTCATTTGTTTGTTTTGTATGTTTATTTGTTACGAGTACCAAAATGCTTAATATCTACCAAATCTACCGTGCTGAGTATAATCTATTGTGTCCACCTTTAAAAAACTCTAGTAACATGCTGATGCGTTCTACAAAAAAGTGCACCCTTCTAGAGTTATGCACTAAATAAGCTGATTTTTTACATTAGCAGGGCTGTTCAGGCATAGCCAAGACATGCTGTGTCAATAGCAAATAATCTAACTGTTCATGCCACAAAGTACCTCAAGAAAAGTTATTCTATTCGATGTAGTGCAAAATTTACATATCTTTTGTAGCAACAAAAGTTTACTGTTCACTATCTTCTTCGTATAACTGAAATTGAATAAATCATTTTAACTCCCTCCTCACACTTGCTTTTTGTTTTTGGTCTTGCTGCATTGCAGGTGTGTCAAGGAAAGCAAGCTACATTACCCCAGTCCCTGGAGGCGTTGGTCCAGTAACTGTTGCGATGTTGATGAGGAACACCTTCCTTGCTTACTCTAGAGCAATAAACTATCAGTTGACCTAAACAGTATTTTGTCATTCTAGAGCATAGTTTAAACTCTGTTACTCTAAAGTATTACATTAAACTTTTATTTAACCCTTTGACATTTAAGTTTGTGCAGTTTACCTAGGTAGAGGACATTATCAGGTAATAAAACATAATTATATTAAATATTTGTTTACTGAAAACTTTCCTGGTGGAGCCTGAAAATTCAGTCATTGCAGTACAGCCTTGTTACAAGGGTTAACCCCCCAGAACCTATTTGGTGAAGGCTAAATTAATTTTAAAAGGCCGCACGGGTCTTTTGAAATATATTTGTGATTTCTGACAGTTCCTTATCTTGAGGTCTTTTGTTTGCCTCTCTCTATCTATGCATGTGTGTATGGTGTTTGTGTGTGGTTAAGTGGTTATTTTATTTCGAGTGCTTTACCCCTGCCCGTAATTGTAGGCGTGAGCATGGGGGGGAGGCAGAGGGGGCGGCTGCCTCCCCTAGTCACCTAAGAGTGCAAAATATGCCCCACACATTGACTCGATGGCGGGGGAGGGGGGGGGTGGCACTATAATGAACCTTCGCCCCCCCTTTTATGGTCATCCATGCACATGTCTATGCCCATAATGTTAAAGGAGCCCTGCAACACTTGGTCAAAGAACACTTCCGATCGGTAATCGAGGCTCCTGAGGCAGAAATAGCAGCACGTGGCCTGGAATTCACAATTAATCTTTAAAGTCAGCTATAGGAATCGCTCACTCTTCTCTCTACAAAGGATGTCGTATGCGCACATCGTTGCGCTATATACACAAGTTCATAGCCATAGCCACAGGAACGTGGCATGCTACCATGTTCTTGTGCGCACTCACGATTACACCAAAAGTAAGCAGCTATTTTGAAAAAAAAAATAAAAAATCAAAAGAAAGTGCTCAAGGTTGTTACTCGTGTTAACGAAAAAACGCATCTAGTTGCCGCCTTGTCAGCCCACCTTCCCTTCCAGCGTAGCTTTCAGCACACTCTCTTGCACGAAAAGAGAGAAAAAGCGCTTCAAGTGTGCAGCGAATTCCTGTACCTCTGCTGGTACTTGACAGAATATACAAATTTTTGTGGCAGTCAATTCATAAGGCAATAAGCTGTTTTATTGTGAGCATCACGGGTTCATGATGCCGCACGGCGCAAAAGACTTGAGTTATCGTCAACAGAAAACTTTCGCATCCATCACGACAATGCTTCTGCACATTCCTCACACTTGGTTCAGACTTTTTTGACGAAAAGTCAGACTCTTGTAGTTCAACAGGCTTCTTACTCTCCCGATATTGCCCCCTGCGATTTTTGGCTGTTTCCCAAACTCAAAAGGACATTGAAAGGAGAGCAATTACAGGCAAGGGAGGGCATTATGGGTGATACGACAGCTGAGCTAATATCCATTCCGAAAGAGGCCTTCTCAGAATGCTTCCAATAATGGCAGCACCGCTGGTAGAAGTGTGTGGAGTCCCAATGGGACTACTTTGATGGAGATTAGGTTTTCGACTCTCCAATTATGCCAGTTTTTTTTTTTTTCAGTAAAGGTCGGATACTTGTCTAACAAACCTCGTATGAGTCAGAGGCACGGGGCTATCGATGGAAAGGCTTTGTACGGAGACTAATGACACAGCCACCACAATTTTTGCGGATAACATGCCCCGTAAAATCATTCAGACAGGACGTCCCTTCTAGGCAGCTGTAACTTGCCATTTTAATGTAGATCATTCATTAAAGCTGCTAACTGCTCTTATTCTATTATGTTTGAAACCAACCACGCAGGTATGATATAAGAACGTAAGAGTAATGATAACTCAAAAAATACCACACATGCTATGACGATACCCCAGTAAAGCCGTTTTGCCACAAATGCTTTGTTTGGTAACATTAACCACGTTCTGTACAAGGTCTGTCTGTTGTTTCAGCCCATAATTTTCTCGCTCACGCGCTTTCTTTTGTTATACCTCTGCATTTATTAGTCGAGTCAAACTGTCAACCTCATTGTGCATTGAGAGTGAACTAGACAAGATCAATTTGACATTGTTGTAATTGAAGTTTAGAAGTTATTCGTTCAAAGTTCATGACAGGAATATACATGCACATCTAGAGCAGAGCAGTAGTCTTTATGCATTTGCCAAGACGTCTTGATGCCGTAAGCCATCTGGTATGGCTATTTTATCGTGAATTTTATACCATGTGAATGTTTATTTTTATTTTAGCCATGGAAACACGTAAATAAATAAATGAATGCGTAGTTGGTGTGATCACATGATATTTGCGTTTTATTATATATAGTTTCGAGAACATCACCGTGACGGAGTGGATGCGCAGCTCGCGGGGCTCGATGCTCGCTTGAGAGGCCATTTTTTTCTCCATATGATTTTTTTCTTGAAGGTTTTCGCCTTCAAAATGCAGTCACCAATTGGTGCTGCAAAGGTGTGAAGTTTTGAGGGGGGGCGCGTGCTGCTTACTGCTACCATCTCTGTCGTATCTGATGTCTCTGGTTGTGAGAGTTCTCAGCATGGACATGAATAAACTCTGGTTTTTCATCCCGTGGGCCCCTGTGGCGGTTCGATTGCTATGTTTGTTTATAGTTTTTCAATTGAGAACAGGGTCACTGGCTTGATTCCTGAGTGCCATTCTCACAATCTGATGAATGCAGAAGAAAAAAAACAACAACATTGGTGAGGAGCGAAGCATGTAGAGAACGATGTTTCAACTCCAATAACGCGAAACCTAGGGAGGGGCGAAGCATGCAGTGTTCTGAGAGAGATGTCTTTCATGCTGAAACTGCACATGTCACAGTAGCTATCACAGTGTCTTTCATGCTGAAACTCGCAAGGTCACAGTAGCTATCTTAGAGCATATGCTCTGGCGATGCCCCTAGTTACTGGGCAGTAATCAAGCCAACGTGTCCAAGTGGCCATCAGAAGCCCCAACAAGAGGGATCAGCTTTGGGCCGTCCAGAGAGCTCATGATGTGGCATTCAGGCTTAGCCTATTCGTCCCAACATGAGAGTAGCCCACTGCGCTCTAGTCACATCTCTCAGGAGTGTCAATAAAGTTCCATCATGCATCCATTCTTTTCTTATGAATTCGCCTAAGAGGACTTAATGACGAAAGACATGTTCTTGTTCTTGTTAGTTGATCTACTGATCCTCCCCTCCCCTACATAAAGCCTTCTGCAGCTAAAGTTGCTTTGCACCGCCTCCAGGATCTGAGGCACTGCAAGCTTTTGACACCTCAGTCGGTTTCGCACGGCCTCCGTTATCGACCAGCTTTGACCAAGCGACGATGTTGTGGGATAGCATCATCACATGGTGATGATTTTTTACATCACCCGTGTTGACGTCGATGCAATCTGTCGATTTTCTCGATTGATGAAGCAGCTAAGCTCTCACCTTAATACTGAAAAGTCCTCTTCAGCAGCTGTATATCGCTTCCCACAGGTCTGCCTACTCACAATTTTTCAAGGGCTTGTTCAACACAATTTGTGTGAAATTTTATGCCGAGTACTATATAGCCTTTCAAATTAGCGATATAGCTAGATTGTCATTTTTTAGGTCATGTGCCATAAAAATATTAACTCGCAATTCACATTAGCGTTAAAGAGCTTGCTTCACTGAAATGCCAGTGTCAGCATCGTTGATTGTGATCAAAAATTGACGTTGCCAGTGAGCAAAAATTTCAAATATTTAGGTGCATACAAATTTATAATAAGAAATAGTCGGTCCCATTGAGAACCGAACCCAGGCCTTTTGCGTGACAAGCAGGTCTTCTACCACGGAGTCACACCGGTGCTTGAAACTGCCTCACAAATAAAAAAAGTGACAAGAATAGAATGTAGTGATAGAAGTCTCCTTAGCGCATGTAATGTTGAGCGGCAAAATCGTAGAATCACACCATGAGTCAAAACCAGTGAATTGGGCAATGAGGGGGTGGTTTGAGGTTGTCCGCTCATTACAGCAAAGTATGCAGCTGTGCAGGTTCGCGCGACACCTTACGGACGCATATCGGGTACTTCACCGTTTTGCAAAAGGAAGAATCAATACGGGTATCATGGGAGAGGCCTTTGCCCTGCAGTGGTCGTAGACAGGCTGAAGATGATTAAGAATAAAAAAGCTAAAACGAAAGAGGAAATTACTTCCAATGTAGTAATACATGTCGCACATGAGATTAGCGAAGTGCTAGCATATCTACTGAATTTAACATCATCTGATGGAATTTTCCCACATGAATTGAAAATAGCCCGACTTACATCGATACATAAAGGGCGAGATAATAGTCTGTTCAGTAACTACAAATCAATATGTATCTTAACTGTGTTTTCAAAAAAAATTTTCTAACATTAATTTATGACGGATTAGTTACATTTTTAGCTCATACAATGCTATTACAGTTAGTATGGCTGCCAAAAAATAGATCCACCAAACAAGCACTTATGTATTAGGGATAAAATATCAAATATTCAAGATAAAAACTACGTGCTTGGTTTACTTTTAGATCTAAACACAGCTTCTGATTCTATTTATCATAAAATTTCATTGTGGACGCTAGAGAAGTAAGGAATAAGTGGTGTTGCAAATAGATTTCTTGCAAGCTACTTAAGTAACCGTAAACAGTTCGTATGTATGCAGGATGTTTCATCTAGTTACCTAACGATTGAACAAGGCGTCCCTCAAGGCTCCAAGCTAGGTTTCTTATTATTATTCATAGTTTTCATAAACGATATAGTTAATATGCTTAATTCACCAGAACTGATAATGTCCGCCGATGACACCAATCTAATTTTTTTATTAATGCGACCTGAGTGAAATAGAACACAGTGTGAATCATTACCTTTTATTATTAGATTGCTGGATGAACCAAAATAAATTGTGCTTAAACGCCGAAAAAACAAAATACATTATATTTAGGTGACGCAATACACCCATCGATAAGGAAATAACCATTACTTATGCAGGAATAAAACTCCAGCAAGTAACAAACCAGAAGTTTCTTGGAGTGACGTTTAAT